CTCCTCTCTCCTTCTCCCCCCTCGCCTCCATCTACCTCCTCTCTCCTTCTCTCCCCTCACTTCCATCTACCTCCTCTCTCCTTCTCCCCCTTCTCTCTCCCTCCTTCCCTTTCTTCCTTCTTAACCCTTCTTTCCTTCCTTCCACCCTGTGGGTCTGGTCTGGGAAGGGAAGGGCAGCGGTGAGGCTCTGGGAGAGTGACAGGTACTTGTGGCCCTGATATGGACTGAGTTGCTCAGGGGACTGAGCCTGCAGGATCCCGAGTACTGTGACTTCACCTCTGACCTCATCGCATTACATCCCTCTTGACACCATTCTAGGGATGGAACCCCATTTGCCTTCCAAATATGTTGCTTCAGGCCCATCAACCTCATGGCCAAAAGTCAGTGGGTTGAAAACATGTGAAGCATGATGCGGTTTGTTGTAATAGAAGGTGTAAACATGGCACACATAGTAGGAGGTGACAAAACATGGGAGGAAGTGCACACACATGGGAGGAGGTGGACACGTAGGAGATGCACACATGGGAGGAGGCAGATACATGTGGGAGGAGGCACACGTGGGAGGAGGTGGACACGGAGGTGTACACATGGGGGGAGGTGCACACGTAAGAGGAGGTGGACACACGGAGGTGTACACATGTGGGAGGAGGTGCACACAGGAGGCGCACACATGTGGGAGGAGGCACATTCGTGGGAGGAGGTGCACACATGGGAGGAGGTGGACACGGAGGTGTACACGTGTGCGAGGAAGTGCACGTGTGGGAGGAGGTGCACACGAGGGAGTAGGTGCACACACGGAGGAGGTACACACATGCGAGGAGGTGGACACAGGTGTACACGTGGGAGGAAGCGGATACATGTGGGAGGAGGTGCGCACACGTAGGAGGTGCACATGTGGGCGGAGGCATACACACAGAGGCAGACATGTGGGAGGTGCACACGTGAGGGACACATGGTAGGTACACGTGGGAGGAGGTGCACACACATGGGAGATGTACACATGGGAGGTGCGGACACATGGAGGAGGTACACACGTGGTAGGTGCACACACGAGAGGAGGTGCACACAGGAGGAGGCAGACACATGGTAGTACACACACATGGGAGGAGGCGGACACATGGCAGGTGCACACACGGCAGACATGTGGTTAGGAGGTGCACACACGTGGTCCAAGGGAGGTGTGCATGTGGGGAGGAGGTGCCCATGCCTGCTGAGTGTCCCAGCACACAGATGGACAGAGTTTATGCTCCCCACATTTGAGGACCCCCTCTTTGCAGTGCATGTTCTGCACACCTGAGCATACCGTCTCCATGTTCCAAGTGTGTATGTGTACCTCACACATGCTGCAGGGAGCGCACACGTGCACGTACTGGCACGTGTCACCTGCCTGTGCACACAGACCAGATTCACCATGAGTGCTTCCAGGGGCACTGTACTTCCTTTGGCTCCTCTGTATTTTTTGTGTGGATTCCAGTGTAAGTGTGTCACATTTAGGAATGGGAAAAGATCCCGCAGTGCACGGGTGAGCGCCAGGCAGTGGAGGCTGTGCCTCATTCCCTCCGCTATTCCCCTTTTCAGGGAGCATCCCATCGGAGACAAGAGCTTCCAGAACTACATCCGGCAGCAGTCCGAGACCTCCACTCATTCCATTTAAAGTGCAGGACACGCCCAGTGGTGCCTGTGAGCTACCCATGCAAAGCTGCAGCCTTTGGGAGGGAGAAGAGAAGGAAGAGTGCAGAGTCACCAGAGCGATCCGTGCCACCCCAGCCACGGACAAGTGGCCAAGGTTTCCCTCTCCCGGAAATGCTCCTGCTGCCGCACCCTCTGCAGAAAGCCCACCCAGCCTTGTGGACCATGTGGTCGTTTGGTTTTGTGCTCTTTGCTCCTTGTTTGTGGGGATCCAGGGATCAGCTGAAGGATCAGGAAGCGTGGGCTGTGCCCTGGCCACACCACAGCCGGCCTCAGGGAGCCACGGCTTGTCTAGTCAGCTGCAATATGCACCTTAGGCCGTGTGCACATCTGTCCCGTGTGCACGGTGTGTGTGGCGCTGGGCTCTGCGGCTCTGCGCCCTTGTGGCCTCCTGGCCGCACCTTGGTTTTTGGCTTCATCACGTTGGGACGTTCAGAGCATCACTCTCCCGCTGTGCCTACCATCCAGGTGGCCGTGGGAGGTGGCCTCCCTGTTCCACTTTTGAGGTTGATTTTATTCCTGGCTGAAGGGTGAGTTTTGTGGCTGGGATGTGCAGAACTACACAGAAATCCCAATCTGAGGATGCCCTTGGTGCTTGGAGGATCCAGGTTCTGTCCACAGAGACCCTTGGAGGGAACAGTGTGGGCTCCAGCGTCTCCGGTGTCTGCTGAGCCCATGTGGAAGCACAAGTTATTTTGCTGTTGAATGGGGTTTAAAGTTAGACTTAACATTTGCCACCCCCTGTGGAAGTTCGGGGAAGATTTTTAAACTAGAAGTGTGCATTTTTCGAGCTGTTTTTCTTAATGTTTTTAAAGGACCATTTTTAATTAGCTCTTTGATACAAAGTAACTCAGAACGTCAAAACCTATCCCCACTAAAGAGAAGGCTGCTAGAGCCCAAGGGCAAGGGAATGGAGCCTGCCTCAGGAAGGGCAGCTGCAGGTTCTCCAGAAAATCAGAGAAGGGAAGAAATTCAGTTTCAGGTACAGGGGCCTCGGGGTGCAGATGTCCCTCCAGGGCCCATGGCCAGTATTGCACCTGTGTTATGAACCCCCAGACGCTGTGCAGGGCAGGTACTGGGGCTGCTTTTTTGTTGGGAGGGGAGCCTCCTAAAAACGGGGCCCAGGCAGACCCCTCCAGACCTCACACTGCCGAGGAGGCCTTTCCCGAAGGGCGTCCTCCCAGAATGCGGATGGCAGGTGTGTGGGAGGCACGTTTACATGCACATCACCGTGTATCCTTGTACCTTCTCCCTGTTCTTTGAAAATACTGTAGTTCAGACTCTTAATCTAGATGGCAGATGGAGACTTTATTTGTTGTCACAAAAATAGTGGAGGAAAATGTTATAAAAATAGACTTGGACACACAGCTATTGGGGCTGCACTGAGCTGCAATTTTTAACATGGATTTATAACTTAATGTTTCTGCTTATAAAATACTAATGATTTGAAATGTATTTTACTGGACGATTAAAACAGATGTTTTATTCTTTCTGAGGACTGGCCTGGTTTTCCAGTAGTGCCTACTGGGAATTGCACATGTGGGTATTGGGAGTACTGGGGGGATGCAGGGAGGAGGTGGTGTCTGGGGAGCAGAATGACATTGCTGAGGCCAAGTGACATCGCTGCTGACAGATGACATCTCGTGACAGCACTGCTCTGGCAGGTGGCACCGCCCTGATGACAGGTGACATCGCTGGTGGCAGGTGACATCACTGGTGACAGGCGACATCTCATGACAGGTGATGCCTCTGGTGATGGGTGGCGCTGCTCTGACAGGTGGTACTGCCCTGATGATAGGTGACATGGCTGGTGACAGGTGACATCACTGGTGACAGGTGACATCTGGTGACGGGTGCACTGCTCTGACAGGTGGCACTGCCCTGGTGACAGGTGATGCCTCTGGTGACAAGTGACATCTCTGGTGACTGGTGCACTGCTCTGACAGGTGGCACTGCCCTGGTGACAGGTGACACCTCTGGTGACAGGTGATGTCTCTGGTGACGGGCGGCACTGCTCTGACAGTGCTACTCAACTGTGGTGCCTTAGGTGACAGTCTGGCCCCATGATCCCTCAGGAAACGTGTGGGTCCCACACTGCCTGACAGTGCTACTCAACTGTGGTGCCTCAGGTGACGGTCTGGCCCCATGATCCCTCAGGAAACATGTGGGTCCCACACTGCCAAGGGCCGGGGGAGTGCGGTTGGAGATGGCATCCACTCAGGCAGTGTTGGGAAGACAGACTCCACCTGCTGCCTTCTCCAGGAACACGGAGGGCGGGTGAGGCAACTTGGAGTCCCTGGGAGTAGAGAACTGACTGCCCCTCCAGGCAGATGGCCACTGTCCCTCCTGGGGCAGGAGAAGGTTAAGGGGGACTCTGGGTAAAGACCCCATGGCTGGGGATGCATTTTCTCATTTCTTTATTCCTTTTCCTTCTCCATTGGAGGTTCTCTTTTTTGGTAATTCTATTGCGAGTCACAAGCTCTGGTATGAGAAAAATTCAGATGTGTGGCTTTGGGGACACAGAGGTGTGGCTTTGGCACACAGAGCCAGGCCCTTCTCCCAGGGAAGGGGAAGGGTTGGTGCTGCCTGGCCAGCCCCCTCTGTCTGTGGAGGAGAGGGTCAGGCAGGGACAGCACTGCCCTGTCTGCCAGTCCAGGCATGGCTGAGTGGTGGATGGACCCCTGCAGGTGGGGGCACCCTGCCTGGGAGGCCGGCCAGTCTTCCTGGATGTGCGCTTCCCCGGCAGGGCTTCATGCAGTGCCAGGAGCTGGGGGCTCAGTTCACACTCTGGGCACACTGTGCTGGGGTTGGCCCTGGAGGGCCAAGGTCAGCCCCTCCAAGAGGAAGTCAAAGGGCTAGGAGGATGAGGCCCCAGGGAATGTGGAGAGCTGAAGCCCCTCTCAGAGCAACCAGGAGGGTACTGCAGGGCTGTGGGAGGTGGGGGTCTAGGGGGGCCGGAAGCCCCTCTAAATCTCCCACTGATATAGTCTGGCTGTGTCCCCACCCAAATCTCATCTTGAATGGCAGCTCCCATAATTGTGTGTGGGTGAGAGGGACCCGCTGGGAGGTAACTGAATCACCGGGGCAGTTTCTTCATACTGTTCTGGCAGCAAGTCAGTCTCACGAGATGTGATGGTTTTAGAAGGGGAAGCCCCTCTCACTTGATTCCCTTTCACCTTGCCCCAGGACTGTGAGGCCTCCCCAGCCATGTGGAGCTGTGAGTCCATTAAATGTCTTTTTCTTTATAAATTACCCAGTCTTGGGTGTGTCTTTATCAGCAGCGTGAAACAGACTAACACACCCACCAAGGGACAACAGGTGGCTTTGTGGAGACCCCAGTGATGTCCACCTACTCTTCTTGCTCCAGACGACCCAGCACTTGAAGAGAGACAGCAGCTTCTGCTTCCCTCCTGGCACCATCTGGGGGGCTCCCGACCAGAGCATCTGGAGCAGGCGCCTGTGAGGAGCTGTTCCAGGAGGCCAGGGGGTGCCAGGGCAGGTGAGAGACCAGGGCTCCCACCCTGCGCCGGCCACTTGCCCAAAGAGCTGAGGCCTCCTGGGCGCTGAGAGGCTGTGGGCTCCTTCAAAGGAGGGACTGGAAGGAGGGGAGCCTTCGGCCTGGGGGGTCGTACCTGCCTCCCCATGATGCTGAGGAGTGCTGGGTGCAGGCAGCAGGTCAGGGCAGGGTGCAGGCTTGCAATGTGCCTGTGAAGGGCCAGAAGGGGCTGCCAAGTAAGCCACGCTGACCTAAGGGTTGTTTTGAGCTGAAACAGAAGTTGCAGAAGCACCTCCCCACCTCCCTTTTTCTTCCGTCCATAAGGAGAAGAATGCAGCTTTCTTCTGGCTCTGGAGAGCATCTTTCCTGTGGGGTGTTACCTCCCGTTTCGGGAAGGAAAGGCCGTCTCAGGGCCTGCGCTCTGTGAGGCTCCCGGCCACACAGACTTGTGTGCCTTCCCCCTCTCTTGTCTGCCAGTTTTACTTCTTGGGCCCAACCAAAAAACCCAGGAGGTAAAATGTTGCCTCCCCACCCACCATGGTCTGGAGGCTGGAGGAGACGGCGTGCTGGGGTAGCGTCTCGGTATTTTCTCTTTCACTCAGTACTGGCCAAACTCTCCCCACAAATCCCATGTTGAAGCTGTGACCTCGTGACCCTCAGGACCTCAGGATGTGAATGCACTTGGGCGTAGCGCTGTGGAGATCGCCAAGGTAAAGCGAGGCCATCAGAGTGGCCCTGACCCAGTGTGACTGGTGTCCTTATTAGAAAGGAGATGAGGACACAGCACACAGGACGACCACAAAGACGCAGGGAAGATGCCATCTCTGTACCAAGGAGAGAGGCCTCGGAGAACCAGCCCCGAGAGACACGTGACCCTGGACTTGTAGCCCAGCGCCAGAGGGAAGAGCTCCCGCTGTTGACGCTGCCCGCCGGGGAGTTCCAGCAAACCCCCACGCACCAGGGCAGTTCACACCCACCTGCCTGGAAAGGCCCAGAGCCCTGGCCACAGCAGGGTTTTGTCCTGGTGCTGTGTGGGTGGGGAGGGGGTGACAGGCAGTGTTTGCACCCCACTAGTGCCTGCCGGGGCCGCCTATGTCTTCCTGAGTGCATCTCTGTCCCCTTTGTCCTTGATAGGGAAAGAAAGACTCAAATATCCTGTCACAGAAGGAGACCAGCATCTGTGCTGAGGGAGCCGTGGTGAGGCCTGGTGCCAGTTCCCTACCCTGCCTGGTGGAGAGACCAGAGAAGAGAAAACGCAGAACC